GTCCCCGCGGGGCCGGGGGGCTCTGCAGGAGGGGGCTGGTTCCTGCCTGGTCGCGGGTGGCTTGTGGGGGTTGATGCCCGGTTCCGGAGCCGTGGAAGGCCTGGCCTGGGATAGGGAGGTGGCTCGGCTCGGGTCGGCTACCTTTTGTTCCTCGCCTCCTCCTCAGGGGTGTTATTGGCCGCCTGGCAGCGGCAGCAGGGCGGGGGGAGGAGGGAAGGGGCTCTGTCTTTCAGTGCAAAATACAACTTGTTTGGGATTATCCTTCTAATAGCACCATAGAAAATGAGGGAAGGGACCTCAGGAAGTCGCATCTAGTCCACCCCCCTGCTCAAAGCATGACCAGCCACAACTAGATCATCCCAGCCAAGGCTTTGTCCAGCTGGGTCTTAAAAACCTCGGAGGATGGAGCTTCCACCACCTCCCTGGGTAATCTGTTCAGTGCTTTTCTACCCACCTTGTGAGAAAATTCTTCCTAATATCTAACCAAAGCTTCCCTTGCTGTAACTTGAGACCGTTGCTCCTTGTTCTGTCATCTGCCACCACCGAGAACAGTCTAGCTCCATCCTCCTTTGACCTCCCCCCCTTTAAAGGTAGTTGCAGGCTGCTATTAGATCCCCCTCAGTTTTCTGTTCTCTAGACTAAATAAGCCCAGTTCTCTCAGTCTCTCCTCAGAAGTCATATGCCTCATGCCCTCACAATCTTTGTTGCCCTCCACTGAACTATCTCATTTGTCCACATCCTTTCTGTAGTGGGCAGCCCGAAACTGAACACAGTGCTCAGGATGTGACCTCACCAGTGCTGCACAGGGCTGTGTGTTGTGTGTTTCTCTATCTGATCGCACAGGTTAATTAGCCCTTTGAGGGTCTGGCATACTTGTTTGTCTTTAACAGAGATCAGTTTTTTTTTACTTTTTTTGAGAGCTGGTTTACAAAAAATACAGTTGTGCCCACCAGCAACCTGATAAAGAGACATAGCGGACCTTCTTACTGCATGTTGGTCTGTGTGCCCTGTGGCTGCCTTTTTGTTTGTTTGTTTTTTGAGGAGTGCTGCAGCTGAATTGTTGGGTGTGGCATGTGGGGAAATTATGCTGTTCACAAGAAGAAAGCTTGTTCCTTCTCTTCTGCCTAGAGCTAGTGGTCAAGTCAGACGACCCTGCAATGGGTCTTGCAAAACTAGGTTTCATGCTTGACTTCCAGACTTGCCTACGCTTAAAAGAATTGACTCTAAAGCAGTGCTTCTCAACCTCTTTGGTACCAGGACCCATTTGTAAACATCAAGTCCCAATCCAGTGTCCCTCACTGCTGACCTGCTGTCCCCAGATCCCAGCCCTCCAGCTCTGCCAGCCTGCAAAGGAAAAGCCATGGTTTCCCACATTTTTAAAGAATCCATTTTTAAAGAATGTTCACAACCCTTCCATACATTTTTGCGACCCACTTTTAGGTCATGGCCCACAGGTTGAGAAATGCTGCTTCTCAACCTTTTAGATTCAGGGTCCCCCTGGATTGATTTGAGGCAGTCCTTGGAAAATGCCAGCTCTTTAGGTACATGTGATCTCTTGTATTAGACAACTAAATAGTTTTTAGCTCATAGTTTTCACTTCCTTTTGCTTGCAGAAGAGTAATAGAGCTGTGTTTGGGTGGCAAGGAGCTCGGAAAGAACTCAGCTGTGGATTTCTATTTGGAATTTCTGGTTTTATCTTGTAAATCATGTTTGCACACCTAATGGTACTAAAGTTGTGTGGCAACCTGTGGCACCCTTGAAACGATTTCAAGGCACCTCTGAGCCACGTCATGTGGGTTGAGAATCAGTGCTCTAGAAATATGCTTTCTAGGGGAGATGGAGTTTACAAGACCAAATAGATTTAGTTAGTTAGAAGTGTTTGATTTAGTGTTGTGGCTGTAGCTATGCTAGCAAAACTTCCAAGAGCAGACCAAGCTAGAAGTGTGCACTAAATTTTATTAGTGGGGAGCAGTTCTCAAACCCAAAATGAAAGTGATAGGAATAACTCTTAAACTGGCTTGTAGTGTGTATTTCAGCAGTATATAACACTAATACTTAGCCTCTTAACACCCATGTGAGGCAGAGGAAATCCTGTTATTCCCACTTGCAGAGGAGCAACTAGGATACAAAACATTTTGTGACTTTACTAAGGTCAGGTGTGAACGTAGCAAATTTGGAATGGAAAGAGGAAGTACAAGTCCATTGCCTTTGTCTTGACAAACCTTTCTTTTCTGGAATTCATATCATAGCCTTTGCTTGTTGGCTGAGATTACCAAAATATTTTTGTGGGATAGCCCACAGGAATTGCTAAAAAGCTGTAACATCGTGTCACATGAGCATGGGAAATGTGTGTATTAGTTACCATTGCAGTAGGAGGAATAGTTAGGAATTGTGGTGGGAGTGGGAAAATCATAACCATCTCCTTCCAAACAATTCTTAAAACCCCCTGGCCTTGTTCTTGGAACAATATAAAGGTTAACATTTAACATTTTTGTCACTCCTGCCTGTGATGTGATAACTTGATCACATCCATGCACTCCCAGAATTCCTGGGGAATGTTTTAGGTGTTGACAGGAAGAGGAAATCTATTGATATTGGTGACCAGAATACTTGCATACCATATGGAAATCAGGCGTTTCCTGTGGCAGAGGGGTGTCATGATCTATGTCTGGCTCAGGCAGGATTGATTATTTTTTTTCTCAGTTAGAATTATATTTGCTTATCTAAAGAATGCAGATATGGTGCTGCAGATAGAGGACTGTTTCTTCCTGCAGCACCAACTGGGTGAGGAGAGAGCCAAAGCAAGGTAGCAGGGTTCAGGATTAAGTTCATGTTTGGAGTTTCTAGTGGGAGGGGATGATTGCTGAGTTACCTCTTGATGTGTGCATGCAGCACCAAGTGGGTCACTGTTTCATCAGTTCTGTATCAACATCTTGATGAAGAGGAGTTGTATAGATAACAATAACATTTAAGTTCAGAAGTACTCTGTTAAATTTGTGACAGGTCTGGAGTTGTGTGCTATGTTCCTGCTCCTTTATACTATCTTTTAGGGGTGAGTCATGCTGCAAGATGGTGGAAACTGAACAAAAAGTGAGATTGTTTAATTCTTTATCACTAGACTGCAGCTTCCCATTTGGAGAGTGGAAAAGCATCTGTGTCTTGATCCATGTAACCCCTAATATCTTAGGTATGGTAACTTATGTTCTTTCTAGATAAAGGAGAAAGAAATGGGATCCAGTCTTGTAAGGCAAAGAGGAAGAAGTGATATATGTTTCAGTAAGTGATGTCCAGATAATTAGGTTTCCTTCAAATGCACATATTCTTTTCTCTCCTTAAAATGTATATATTTTTCTTTCTCTCTTTCTGTGCTGGGAGAGCTACTGGGTCACATGAAGCTGGCTGTCCTTTCTATGTGCTAAATTTCACTGGTAGTCAAATAGTTAAATATTTCCTTTAAGAAGTGACACTGACGGTCAGATGTTTGGGGTAGCTAATCATGAAATAATCACTCCAGAGATGTGGTTCACATGACCAGATAATAAAAGAAGAAAAGTTTTGAGAGCCCTTTTCTTAAAGTACATTCAGTTTCCTCTTGTATGGTTGGTTATTGGCAGGTTAGCTTGTTAAGTGTGGTCATTACTGGCATCTTTCTGAATCTTTTGATTGTGCAAGTTGCAAACAAATCTGACAGGTGCTGTCTGGATGGGTGAGCTAGCCAAAGTGGAAGACTTTTTACCCTGTGAAACTGGCAGGTTGCCACCTATTGTGGTGAGGAGTTGAAACACTAAAATTCATTGATTGTTGGGGAGTTGTGCCAGCAGGACCTAAAGCACGCATGAGAGAGAGAATCCAAGAAGAGTAAGATTCCCCCTGATTAGTAAATTCTGTAATCTGAAAGAGGCAGGGGTTTTGGTTTTGCAAGTGTTGAGATGACTCATGTGGAGGAGTTAGCTATACAATTGCTGAGCTTTCTTCCACAACAGAAGTGAGAGTTGTCATGGGTGATGGCTGTGAATGGATGCAAAATATCCAACTTCTCAAAAAATAAATCCATGCAACAATATTTGAAGCAAGAAATTGGGTCATAACAGAAAAAAGTGAATAAGTCACCAATATCTGGAATGTATCAATCTTACTATATCTGACCTGTTTCTTAGTATGTGTGTGCATGTATTTAAGCTATTTTCTCATGGCCAGTTAAAATCTCTGTGTTTGTGTCTAGCCTTTGAGGCATGGCACTGTCTTGCTAGATTGCAGATTTCATGATCTTGCATACTGTAGATCAGCGGGTGCTAAACCTTTTGGGGGTGTGCCACAAATTAAGCCTGTAAACTCCCCCCCCCCACAGTGTCACTTTAATTCCTTTTTCTCTGCTTGGTGCTGCTTTCCCAATCTGCTACATACCTTACACAGAGGCTGCTTGTGCCACAGGTTGGCCACCCCTGCTTTAAATAACAGAAGATAAATAACAGTGCTGATTCTAGCTCTGAGCAATCCTTGGGGCTTTTGTATAAACTGTCCATTGACTGGTGTTTCAGATTTTTAGGATAACGTCTTCAATAGTTCTGATGACAGTAGAGTTTTAACAGTCTGGTCCTGCAAACTGTCAGCTGATGGGCTGCCTACACTAGGATACCTAACATTCCCCCACAGGTTTCTTTTGACCAGATATTGGCAGCCACTGCCAAGCTGGTTGAAAATTTTTCTCTCTATTGCTGACATACTATAAACTGTCCTGCAACCATTTATCTGGGGGCTAGGGTGGTGTGGGAGCTAAGGTGCATGCAGCCCAGAAGTCAAAAGTTTTGCAGAAGCATTCATGATGTGGCCTGTCAGATTCCAGCAAATCTGCACATTCTGCTAAATTCCTTTGCTTTTTCGTGTCCTCGTGACAAGGTAACATTTGGCATGTTAAATGTACAGTCCCAGCTGTGGTCCTTGAAACAGTGAGCTACATGCAAATGATCTGAAACATATTGTTATAGAAACCATTTTTAGTGAGTTACTGAAAACCAAATTCCAAAAGAACTCTGGGAAACATTTGTGATGGGCAGTAAAAGCCTTTCTCTTAATAGCTCTGCCACATGTTGAACACAGGCAGATTCCATCTCAGAGTTGATCTGAAGCTAGTTTAAATGTCACATCATAAAAGGGAGGAATTCCAGGGAGACAGTTTTAAATGCAATAATGTCCTGTTTCAGTTACCTCCCCGTTGATGTTGTAGTGTGTGCGTGTGTTTGTGTCCAGGAGGTGTTGGCGCTCTTCACCAGTTAGACCAACTGTGTGTGAGGCAGAGTTTGAAACAAAAATTCTACAGTCAGCTGCTTGTGTTACTCCTTAGTGTTTTAACTTGCTTTCCTTTAATTCGTAGCTTCTATTTGATGTGGTAGGACCAAAGTGAATGTTACAAACTAAGTGGGGTGTAGAGCCACAATAATGCTTTCCACTCTCGTTGCACCTTCCACCCAAAGATCTTAAATGCCTTACAGATGTCTTCTCACACTTTCCAGATGGGCAAGTTTGAGCCAATTGCTGCACTTCTGTACCCAAGAAGGCACAGGAGATCTGAAACAGTTCAGAAGAAGCCCAGAGTCCTGACTTCTAGCGTCTGCTGCTAACTAGCAAGACAAGTTTAAACCTCTTGCTACCCACTTTTGACCTGGGGAGTCTCTCTCTGCATAGAATTTCTCAAAGTATCGCCATGTTGCCCCAAATATGGGCAGCTTTTACCATGAGAATTATCAGGTAACATGGAAACACAGAGATACCTAAGAACAGTGTGTTTAAGCTTGAGGACTCCAAAGGAAAGGATCTTTCATACTATCCCTTAGGACCAATACGCTTTAGTTTGGCAGGTCCCATTAACCTGCTGAAGTAGACTTCATTTAGCAAAGAGCAGCCAAGGCCAGTAACGTAACTGACTGTACAAACCTGTGCATAAAGGCTAAATAAGTGACAACAAGAGTATGAAAATGACAGTGGAAAATGATTTTTTGTACATCATGAATGACTGGTGCCTCCTGAGACTCGGGGGGGGGACACACCATGGCAGTGAGTGGGGACTGCCGGTAGATGCCAGCTTCAGTGTTGGCGCAGGGACCACCTGCCAGTGTTGGTGGCGGCGAGCAGGGACAAGCCTAGTGGCGAGTGATGACTGCCTGCAGAAGCCACCAGTGGCTTCAGTGGTGGGCAATCTTGGGGGGGGGGCACATGCCCCACCCCTACATGTTGCCTATGCTGTACATTAATATATCTAAGTTGCTAAGTCTTCTCCTGCTTTGAAAATTGCAAAAAAACTCAAGGTTTTTATACCAGATTTAATGCAGTAGAGTGGTTGGTAACAACATTGGTATGTGAAAAGCTGTCCAGATATCTGTTCCTTGACTAATGTTCCAGTGACCTTTCCTATACATCATAGACTTCAGGGTGAAAAATATCTAATAGTCTTCTAGTACAGCGATGGCCAAATGCAGCTTATGTTGGCATCCTCATCTCTGGGGCTGCTTCCTTATGTAATAACTAGCCAATTGCACATCAAGAATGATGAGGGAGCGGGTGGGGATGGAGCCCCTGCTGGCTGGCCTGATGTGGAGAAGGACCGGGCCTGAGGGTGGGAAGAGCAGTGGCCCAGCGATGGTGGGGGAATGGGAGGAGCAGGCTCTGGGCCAATGTTGGGGTGGGGGAGGAGTGGGCCCAGGCCTGACCCGGGGAGGGGGCAGGAAGAGGCTCGCTTCTCCCCTTCCCCTGCAGCTGGCGTGGTCCCCCCTCCTGCCGTGGCAGGCCGCCTTTTCCCCCGCCTGGCCTCACCCCCCCACTTCCATCTGCTCTGTTGCCATCGCCTCCCCTTCTGTCCCCTCTGCCCCTACCATCGTGGTGGCAAGCTGCCTTATGTCAGAATGCTTCTTCGCGCTCTGATTGGTTGTTTGTCGGCTAATCGGAGCGCGAATAAAGCATTATGGACAGACAGACAGACTTAGGCTTTTATAATATTAGAATGTACTATATGTAGTGCTCTGGCTTGATGAGATTAACCTTGCATGTAGTCTCCATGGGCTTCACTGAGATTTGAAGGATGAGTGGCTTCAGAGTGCACTTTCTTATGGAAATTAGGTGCAGCACTTTGCCAATTAATGTCCTATTAGCAGTGCTAACAGTGTCGTATTAATAAGCACTTTGCTTATTAATGTCCTATTAACAGTGTAGAGATGATTATATTTCAGGCTGTGTTAAGTGCCCTGCTCTGTTACTCTGGGGTTATTTCCTTTTTTAAAGGAGCAGTTGACAGGAATGATGTTCATAGGTGTATTTATAGTGAAAAATCCATCTCTTAACTATGCTGTTGTTCAGTGTCCAGTACGTAGGAAGGACTTGCAGGAAAGAAGGAAATTTTACGTCTGGTGAGCACAGCTTATGATGCTCAATGTGAGTCAGAGGTGGACTGGATGCGGTGTTTTCAGCTCTTACTTATTACTTATGCTTGGAAAAATCCAAGCACAGTAGAGTGGCTTTATTTCCCTGTTCTGCTTTTTGCTATGACATCTTGGTCACTGGAGAGTCACGAGTTCTCTCTCCTTGTACGCTGTACCACATGAGATGAGCACAAAAGTGCACTGAGTCATCATTCATCTAATCAGAACTGCCTTCCATGGATATCTTGTTTCTGATGGGAGGGCTCAAGCTTATTTTTATGGGTTTTTCTATCTGCTTTTCCTTCTGTAGTGTGAGACTCTACCACCACTGCTTTCTTCTTCCTTTACAGTCCAGCTGCTGTCAATTCAAGAACCTTCCCAGCGTTGGGAAGAAGCCTGAACTTGAATCTGTTCTGCCTGATCTCTGTGTCCTTTCAGACTATTTCCCTCACTTAAACTGGTTTCTTTTTCCCCTTCCAGTTTAACTTGGAACCCAGGAAGCTTTTTATTTATAGAACTAGTGTTGGTGGAGGATGACAGTCAGAATGAGTCCTTGTTAACTAGGAAACCTTGTAGAAATTCTGATTGACTTGTTTGAGTGAGGCAGTGAATTTACAGTACCAGTGTAGAATTGAGATTGTGGTGGGTTTTTGGAGTGCCCAGTATTTAGTCTCTTTTCACCAGCCTGTCTTTTCACTAGGCAACAAGTTTTGCTTTCAGTTTGTTGATTAGCTAGAGCTAACATCCTAGTGGAGAGAAAGCAGTTTGGAGTTTGCATACCAGTTAGCTGGCTAGGTCTGGACAACTTTCTGAGGTTTAATGCTATCTGAACTCATATGAAAACAACAACTTTACTGCCTTTTTGTG